GGCCTGAGCTATTGTTGGAGTGATGTAGGCTTGCTGTCTCCGGTGACTCCCTGTGCGATCGGTCGTGATGTGCTGCTGGGCCTGGATAAAGACAGCAACAGTGATAAGTGGTTACAACACAGGAGACGGCTTTTTACCACCTCGGTGGTGCCTGGGAGCCTCCCTACGGCACCAGGGAAGTCCCCCTGTGCTCCTCCTGACACCCGCAGCATCACCACAGTCTGCTCTGGAAACGGGTGACAACAAAGAGTCCCTCCCAAGCCTAGGAAGACTCTGTGGTTTCATACATTCACATAAATGGCCCCCAAAAGGACAACAGAGTCCCTCAGTTTGAGCCGCAGCTACCACAAAGACCCAGCCTTGGACGCCCAGCTCCTAAGAACATCTTCCACAAGTCCAGTGACACACACACACGGGTTTTGCTAGTGAACTCTCTGCTGCAGAAACATGGCGCACCGATAGCTCAGGGGAATGAAGTTGCCTAGCTATGCCTGGAAGAGGTAATTTATTTCTGCTCAGTTTAGGCCTCTGCAGTTATCATTTCCTCAGTTAGTAAAAATAACTACTTTAAAGACAAAACCCTCAGAAGATCCTGCAGCCTTCATGTCATCAGCCATAATTACTTGAGCACAGGCAACTTCTTGCAGTGGGACAGCAGCAATGTACTTCTTCAGGGATTTTCTATGTTGGGGTTTCTTATTGCACTGCACAATAATGTCAAGGAGTTTTCTCAGTCATTTGTAGTCAGAGTATTAAGTAACCAACAAAGTAGGAATTAGAAGGCAAGAAGGGCAATGCTCTCTGTTACTTAATTCTATTCTTCCAAGCCCTCTCATCCTCTTTGTAAGCAATCCCTGCACTGTCATTGTGGTCTGAAATGCAGCAGCCACGCTCCTCCTCTACCCTTGGAAACTGCATCTCACCCACTTCCTCCATTTTCACTCACTTTTATTTCAAGTTTGTTTAAATTTTAACATTTCAACTGCATTTGGGGGGGGGACCATTCTTCTCCCCCAAATTATCATTGTTTTAAAAGAACCCCAGTTCTGCTTATATCCAGCTCTGGATGCAAGCCAGCACTGTCCCCTGTGCTCTCCAGACTTTCTCCTCTTCAGACACTGGTAACTGTGCTGAAACTTCCCAACTCCCATTGCCTTGCGTCAGGGAAGAGAAAGGCCCCAGGTGCAGTACATGAGAAGGGCATTATTTACTAGCTCCTGGGGAGCTCCCTGGGTGTTTTGACCACAGATTATGAAACATCTTTAGAACTGCGTGCTGCCAACTAACGGGACTTGCCCAGCGTTCAGCCCTGATTTACCACGGGATGGGTGAAACTCAATACATGAGGTCATGTATATGCATAGGGGCTCTGCTCTGCCTTTTCATACCTTATGAGGACTTCCCCTCCCAACCCTGCAGCTGGGCTCATGTACTCCTTTCACTTGGAAGATATTGTTCCCACAGTTACCCATAGCTAAGGAGAATTCAGTCCTTCCTACACAGTCCTGCTTCGCTCCTTTGTTTCTCAGCTACTGCACCTTCTCTCTTAAGAGTATTACAACTCACTCTATTAGATCATCTGACTTCAAAACACGCAGTAAGAGTACCACCAGCCCACTCAGTGGTGGATCTGCACTACCTCTGCTGCCCGAGCTGGAAGGTCAAGGCCTGCAGTGAAGGTGAAACAAGTAAAAGTCAAGATGGGGTCCAACTATCATTAGACTGGAATGGGCCTGCCCACACTGGAGGAGCAGTAGGTAACAGCTGGATGACGCACCACCAAAATCGGTCTCGGTTGACTTACCTGACTTAGATTAAGAGGCTGCTGCTGCTGGAAATGTGCTCCTGGTCGCTGCTGCCTATAGGCAACGGCTCCAGACGAGCTCCCTGAAGAGTGACCGCTGGTGGAGGTCACGGTGCTGGAGGACTTGGACTTGTAGGAGGATGAGTGGTGACTGGTGGTGACTGTGCCAGGAAAGGAAACACATTTGTAGCTTACATCACATTCTTTAATTGCTCACCCTACCTTTTTCCTCACTGAATCTCTCCTCCAGAGTGGCTTTTGGGAGGAGACATACAACAGAAGCAGGATAAGAAAACTGTTTCTCTTAATTAACAGAATACCTCTGCAGTGGTTCATATACATGGCCAGACTGTTATCCTAGAGGCAGACAAGCAGACCCGATACCTGTACCCAAACCGGGCCTGGAGAAGGCTTTACAGATCTTTCAGAAGTGCGAGAAACTTTTCTGCCAGCAGAACTGTACAATGCAGGTACAAATCCCAAGGAGAGGAAGGAAAGTATAGTGTGCACAGCACAAAAAAGCCCTGGCTTGGCTGACCTCATGGTGAGTAGGAAGGGAGGGAGAAGGAGCTAGTGGGGAGCTCACCCTCTGAGCCTTTGTGTTCACAAGCAGTGCGTCAAAAGAAAGGACTGCCAAGTAGCTCAAAGCCAATTGCTTCAGGCCAGACTTCCACCATAAGCCCCTTTTCAACACTTTGTACTATCTAGCATTGCAGAGGCTCAGGAGGAGCAAACCTCATTGGTCCATAATGAAGATCCTAAGAAATGTTCTTCCCAGAAACGTCAACAAGTTTGGATGAAAATGAACACGTGCTTTCAATCTCTCACCCGTTTTAAAGTAAAGGCCAGGCAGCAAAGGTTCACACTTGCATTTGGGAGCCTTTCATGTCAAATGTTGATCTAAAGGCTGCGTTCTGTTCTTGGGTTTGTACAGAAGTAACTGGGACTGACACTTGCCCCCGTGACTCCTGAGTGTACCAGGGCATATAAATAATGCTATATGGCTCCCAAGAACAGATGTGTCACTTGAGAGAAGGGCAGGAGCACGGTTTCTTTGGAAAACAAAACAAAACAAACAAACAAACAAAATGAAACCGAACAATGAGATTCTTCCAAGATAAATCATTTATTTCTTACTAATTGTCTTGACGGAAGAGGTGCAATTTACCTGGTGCCAGGCTATCGCACTCTACCAACACCTCACTGGCCTGGGTTTTCAGTGGTGGCACGATGATCGTTCGGGGGTTCCCACTGCAGTGAGTCTCTGGAACCCCTTTGGTGTCGTAGGCGTTCCCGTTATTCTGCCCTGCGCGATGCTGCACGGCGTAAGGGCTGTTGTTGCTGGAGGAATCGGAGTAGGGGGAGTCATGCACGGTGACACAGCTGATGACATTCTTCCTTTGCTTGGACAAGGTGCTGGAACACAAGCACAAAAGTGGGAAGACTGAATGGGCAACCACGGACTCAGAAGCCACCAGAAGACTCTGCCTGTGGTGGACTAGTTCCATAAAGGCATGGTACACTCTTCTGTCCTCTGCCAGAGACAGGTTGCTTAAGCCAAATCCCAGGCTTCAAAACTCACTCGTTGCTATTCCAGGAAAGCCTTTGTGGAGGTCAAGGAGTGAGCAAGACGTTGTGCATAGATCTTACATTCAGCCTGCTTAGAATAGCACTGAACCAGACTGCCAGATATATTTTCAGTCTGCTTTTTATATACGTGTGCAGTAGAAGCCCAGCAGTTATACTATGCTTTGTTGCAAGTCTCGCCACCCACACAAAAACGTGGTGGTTTCTCCCAGCGTTCCAGCAATGATTTAATAACAGATGCTACGACTTCGCATGCTTAAATCCCATGAATCTACAAAATGCACTCCATTCTATTTACCAATATGGTACAATGGGCACACGTTCGCAATGAGCGTGTGAAGCTGAGGAACAAATGATGAAAAATGAGCAAAGTATGTAATGCTTTTGGCTTTCTTTTCTTTCTCTGAACAGGCACTGGGTCTCCTGACTCTCGTGTGGATTATCAAGGTCCTGCTGCAGCTAATCTATCTATGACATCAAAAAAGTGATTAAAAAGGAACATCAACACTTCTAAGATTAGCACTAGAAGTTCATTAGACTAGACTGCATCAGTACGATTGGGATTTGCTCTGCTATTGTGTCTAATTATTCCTGATGGTTTCTCCTTCCTGTTATGAGCTTGTTTAGGGAGAAAAAGAGAGACTGAGAAAAAGGAAGGAGGAAGGGGGATGGTGAAGATTTGCTTAAATGGCTCACATCCTTGACAGTGCACAGACCTTGACTACAGAAAATAGCTGCTATGTTTCACTGATTGCATTATGTTGTTATGGCAACTGAAGTTTTTAAAATGATGAAAAGAAATGGATAGCACATAAAAAGCTAAGTAATTAGGCTTAATGGTGGAAACAGCCCCAACAGGAACAGGAATGTTATGAAGAAAAAGGAATCCATCTCCTAACTTCTTGAGTCTGCACCTTAAAAAGAGAGATCCTTTTCCCGTGGAAGGTCCTCTCCATTCGCTCACTCTGGCTGGTCCAGTCATGGGAATGGCTGATTAATCCCATCTTACTCTGTGATGGAGCCATTTGTTCCCTCATCTCAGCATTGCTTCTTATCCAGGGAAAGGCAGAGCAGGTATTGAGAATGCTTTTCCTTCCAAGGACATTGTTTGCCTTATCTCTCCCAGTGCTGGAGCAGCACTGGTGGGTCCCTTCAATTTGTCCATCCCAAAGTCTCTCCATCAACATTCACAAACTGCAACTCACCACCTCGCTCCCAAGACTTGTAATTGAAAAGCTATCATCTCCTCCATTAAAGAACACCTTGGGTGCTGCATTCACAAACAAGTTACCATCACACAGACTTTCCCTGGGCTATCATCACAGGATCCTGGTGTGCCCTGAAGAGGACACAAGAACATGCTGTTCTATGCACAGTGAAAAATACGTCTCGAGAGGCCCCTGCTATCCTAAAGCACTGACACTTGAAAAAGGGCATATGTTAGACAAGAAGGGGAAGTTATTCCACAGCAGTCTGGAATGTCAAAGCAACCCTTGCCAGGGTAGGGATCTTTTCTAGGGAGAAGATGTACAACAGCAAACCCTCATATTCTGGCTTTCCACAAGGAGCTGGAGAGCACTGGATTAGAAATGGAAAGATGGACAACTACTGTATGTGAAGAAAGATACAGCAGTTTGGATATGGTGCTACAAAAGAAGAATATTAAGCCAATAAAAATGACAAATATTGCATCAATATTCCTCTCTCCTTCAGCAGAAATGCCTGTAATCACACATTTATGAGTATCCACTCTGCTTGCCCTTTGCAGCTACCCTTGGCTGCCAGTTGGGAAGAGAGATATATTCTCTACCTCTGACAGTTATTACACTTTATAAAGAAAAATCAAGTCACTAAAGAGTTTTCTGACAACTGATAAGGTCTAGCTATTCTTTTACAGTGCCTTCCTTACATAAGTGGCTGAGCTGCTGAACTGGAAACATTTCTTCTTGGCTGACACTTGACATGGGAAGGCTGAGCTGTAGAACTGGAAGGGTATTTTTCTGTGCTTTCTGTTGTTCTAGAATAGGCATATTTTTCACCAATTTGACTGAGGGCTTGTCAAAGCAGGGGCCATCAGGAGCCTTCTCTTTCAAAGTGTTATAGCTGGTTACAACAAGAAAATCAAGTAGATCTGTTTGGGTAAACAACCAAAAGTGATCCCAAACCCAAACCTTTCTAGAGAAAGAGACTGTAGCAGGATAGTGAACTCATTCCATGGATGGGAAACCAAACAGGACCAGAGCTGTGGTCCCGCCAGGCCTTATGCAAGTGCTCAGCACTACTGCTTTATGTCATCCACCAAAGTCAGCTGGACTATTCCAGTAACAGAGCTAAAGCACATGGTTAAATATTTGCAGGATTAGGGACCAAGTGATTAGCCTCTCGATTCAGCATGCTGCCTCATTTCAAGCGCATGAGGAGCCCCGTTGAAAGCAGCTGGATTTTTGTCTTTAGGAAAGGTAACAACTGCGGCTGATGTTAGAGCAGGCAGAGGAATCAGTTGGGACTGGTCACACACCCCCAGAGCTTGGCACCTGCGGTACTATAGCCTGCCCTGGAGATTAAGGGTGGGAACTGCAAAAGCATCAAAGGTCCAAGTCATACTGAAAATCAGTTGGTTCACTGGCTTGAAGATACACATGAAGCTGAAAAGGGGACTTCTGAAAATGCAACCTAGAAAAGCCAGCACTCCCCTTTCTCAAAGCCTTCTTGCTAGCCAGCAAATGTCCTCCTTCCAGCTCGCCCTGAGGACTCAGCTGCTCTCCCCACCTTGCACTAATGCAGGAGTTACCTGCGTGAGGTCCAGGCTGATATATCACCTTCCCTGCTCACAAACTATCAGGTCTGAGAGCTTTTACCTGTTGACGCAGCACTTGCCTACTCAGCAAGCTTACTGAATTCCTGTAACTCAGCTGCAGCTTTTGGGGTTGTTTGTGCTTACACGGAAAAATACTATTAAAGTCTTGCTCCCTTCCTATTAAGCTCACTCCAAGCCTGACAATTGCTTTCCCTCCTGCAAGTACAGAAGCAGCAGCATACATGATTTAGTAGTGTTGAGAGTCGCCATGTGATCCTGGTCAGCTTGTGTGCCCTGCCTGCATTATATGGGTAGGTGTATTTTAATTCTCTAGAGGAGGGAGGGGGGCAGACTACTGAAGTGGCATCAAATCCATGTACACAGACTGAAAAGCAGTAAAAGCCTTCCTGAAAAGCCAGGAAGGCTTTTAAACTCTTACTGACTGGACCTGCATCCTCCTTCTCAGAGCAGCAGCTGGAAAAACATGCATTGCTTTGTAAGTGTGTTATTAGTTTATGAGTGGTAGCCCATTCCCACCTGGTCCTGAAGAGCTTGTTCTCAAACTTGGACACAAAACAATTCATGTCTGTTCATCATGCACACACAAAGCATGACCGTGCCTTTGAACATGCAGAAGCAGGACTTGGAGACAGCTCTTTAACGTATGCCACCCTCGTGAGGGCACAGCAGAGGTGGACGGGGGTCCCTATTCCCCACAGCAAGGAAAGACCTCAAGAAAAAGTCTGACAGAGTAAAGAGAAGTTGTTTGTTCACAGGCAATGGGCAAGAAGCTAAGGTGGGCACCTGAGAGAGTGTTAATGGAATACTGAGAATGAAAATTGAGAGGAAATTAAGGAAAAGAAGATGCTCAAGTAGGTGTTAAAACAATGTTGAAACCATCTGAATTGTCAGGGACAAGGGCAGGAACCGCAGCTGTTGTAACAATGCAACCTGGGATGATTTCTACTTGCTAAAGGCCCAGCCCAAAAAGCTTGATATGTGACAGCACTGCATGAAGAGAATCCTTTTTCCCCGAGTATCCCAAGTTACACTCAGAATCACAGAAAAATCAAATGGTGTCTAGTGGGGCAATTCTTCAGCACGTGGTTCACCCAAAGTAATATAAACCTTTCAGTGTGTCTGACGCTACAGCAACAGAGGCTTTCAGCTCTCAAAGTCTGGGCCTTCTAGTCTAGGGGAAGAAAGCAGCCATCGCACAACTGTGCCTCTGAACTGGTGCACATATACACCATGTCATGTCAGCTTTACATCACATCACAAAAATTCTGTTCCAGGCATCTGAAAACTTAAGAACATGCAACCTTTTCATTTGCTGCTTCAGAATAATCCACCTATTCTAGGAAAGTGTAGCGTCAGCCAACAAAAACTCATACTACAACTGCAATCGCTCTCTTCATTTTGAAATCTTATGCCATGCATAGCTCAGTGTTGAGAACATGCCCCCTCTCTTCAGCTCAGCCTCCATCCTGACCTGTTAATCTGCTCTCACCTTCTTTGTGAATTTGTGATGGCAAGAAATAATTACCAAGTACTACACTGAGGCCACTTTATTAGGCCATACAGCACACGCTGTAGCTATTTAAGTCATATATACTGAATTGCTTAGCAGGTTGTAAAGGTCCTGCTGCTGAAGGTTTGCTGAGAGGGCTACTGCCTATCTCTGTTATTTTAAGTATTAGCTGCATGTCGGTGTGCCTTCTGGAGATGGAAGGCAGCAATCTTTTCACCAAATGACTGTGGTTAGTCAACATACTGCTATGCAGAGTCAGTGCATTACTATGCACAGCATAACATAGCCACAATAGGCTAAATGTCAAAAGAGAATTACGAATGGCATTTTGACCCTTACACTTGCACACCAGCAACTTGGCAAAAACACCTGGTTTGTGCTTGTCAGCAATTCCTGTGCATAAGGGGAATTAAAGTCCTCTGAAGTAGGCTCCACCACCATTGCACTATGACGTGAGTAAGGTAACAACTTGCACCAGCTTAAACTCCGTTATAAAGGTGAGACTCACACAGAGACTCATATACTGTATAGTTTAACATACAATATACACTGTATAGTTTAATCTTAAGAGAAAGGGAAAAGAACCCAAACCCTGCAAGAATTTTGTGCCCGTGAAGACGGGCAGTGGGATAGTTACTCAGTATGCGGACACAAGAGCTGCGGTCAGTCTTTCTTGCCCAGGAAGACACTGATTACTGTAAGGATCCCATAGAAAATCAAGCTGGAGAGGTGTTATTTAAGATACCAGAGCAGGCAGTGAGGAAGTGAAGAGCTTTCCTGCTCTTTGGAGTGGAAGCATCCACAAAACCACCCACCTCAAGGCTATCACTGTACTGCTTCAAGAATGAAAGTCGTATTTTCCTCGGCTGCTGCACTCATTGCTTGGATGGGAAGTCATCTAGGGATGTTACAACAGCCACCTCCACTGCCTTTCCTTCCACTCCTTCCTCCTGCCACCACGTGTGATGTGTCCCTTGGCAGGATGTGGAAATACCCCTCACTGCACCACTGGTGCATCCCTGCTGCAGGACCATGTGTGCTCTCCCTAGCTCCTAGCCACAATTCCAGGGTGCACTTGTGCCTCTCTGCTCTGTGTTTAAGTTGCTGCTTTATTTTTCTCCACTTTTGAGTTTCAGAAATATTTAATTAAGGGAGGATTTACATTTAAACCACTGCACCATGTGAAGCTACTGGGGAGTACTTAACCCTACTAATTGCTGAATATGTGCTCCGATTACTGCAGCTGCAGTTGCACTGTCGGTCTGTCTGTCTGCTTGACTTTCTTGCAAGAGCAAGTAAAGAAACTTAAAAGGAATAAATTCATATGAAAAACATCAAGTCTACTCTCTCGTTACTCTCTTCAGTCTTTTACTGGTAATGGTTAGACCTAAATTCTCCTTTTCAGAATAAATAACAATCAGGGTATTATCTTACAGCACTGCAGTAAATGTCTCTTTGGCCTATAAAGTCTCTTTGTAAAGGATGCTGAATTGAAAGTCTAAAAATTCACTGGTGATAAATAAACAGGGTGAAAAAAAATTCACTCCTGTTCCTATAATGCTTTTTATATGTCTTTTTTTTTTCCCTACTGTTCTACAGGACAAAGTATCTCATGCAAAAGTTTAAGGCATCAAAACCCAGGCAAAACCAATTTCATTCAGTAAAAATGTTCCCTTTTTATTTTGGGCATTTCGGGTTTTTTCATATTATTTGCTTACATTTTCAAAGGAAAAAACCCAACCCTCTCCATTAAATGAGAAAAGAGCATCTTCCCCTTAATTATTTAATCTCCTAACACTTTCTCTCTCTTTTGTGGAAGTCAAAACATTTTGCAGTTTCCCCAGATTTCAGTGTGTTTGGGATACTGCCAGAAAAATCTCAACATAGCCTACAAAATGTACCCCTGGGTTTTGACAAACTGACTTTTTCAATCAGGAATTTGCCCCTGAAAATCTCTGACCATTTCTCTGAGGACAGTCCCTGCTGAGCTGTACCTGAGTCCCTCCTTGGTGATTTTGCCCCAGGCTGGAGCTGGGGCCCAGCAGATGGCCCCCTTTGACAAGGCTCCATCAAGCAGGTCATCCAGCACCTCCCCAGCACCTTTACCAACAGGAACCTAACATTTTCAGACGACTACTGGTTTTAAGAAGAATGAATGAGCAATGTGCTGGCCTGCCTGCTTGGTTGGCTGGTATTTTATTAAGCATCCCACTTGAAGAACTGAGCTCTTCATTAGGAAGAGGAAAATTCTGCCTGTATCACATCAAATTCTTCAGATTTTTCTTTTGCCAATAAAAAATCTGCATCCCCTGTACAACAAAGGCTCTCTCTACTGCTCTGGTATTACAGAGATGCTTTTCTGCTGGAGTAAATCCAAGCTGTAGGGCTCCTTCACTGCATCAGCAGTATCATATTTTATCAGCATTACCAGTCCTTCTTAAACTGAGACTTACGAACTCTTACATCATCGAAGGATTTACTACTTCTCACAACCACAGGCAGCTCTAATCTCTCTGTGCTGAGCAATCAATAAAATAAACATTTTTAGTCTCACGGGTCAAAGAGAAATTTCTAACCCCACAGGAAATAAAAGAAGGAAATGCTGTAGCAAATTCAGGAGCTGATCGAATGTCAGTGAAGAGATATCACTGCTATCAATAAGATGGGACCAGGCAATTAACTTTGATCTGTCAAGTGCCATATGATTTTGTAGTCTAATCTAGAAAAAGCTAATATTGTTAGGATGTGACTAATAGCACATTCCAAGTCATTCCTTATTTTTCACCCCACACCACAGCTATTGCCCAATAGGGTAATATTTGCATAAACATGGGTGAGACAATGCATTCTTCACACAGTTTTGTTTTCGACTCAGATCCTGAATACGTTAAAGCACATACTTCACTGTCACTCACATTTTTCTTGGAGCAAAAAAAAATAGGTGAGTGAGAAAACTTGGAGGTATTTTCCTAAATATGACATGCTTTCAGTGAGAAAGACCTCGACTTTGGCCTCGACAATGCAAAGTTCATTGGCATTAAATGCTGATACAGCTTCCTTGACTGGAAGCTACACTCTTAGTCCAACTGAGAATCTGGTCTTAGATCTGCCCAGGTCAAAAGGCAAGTTGATTTCATTCTTCCAGAGACTTTAACCAAAAATTCTCATTCTGGACATGCCGTTTTCCATCTGTATCTCTGCCTCTTAATTCTCCACTCGTTCTGGTTACATCTGCACAGGCAATTTAACTCACTCTGGAATTCCAAAAGGTGCCTGACAACAGCCTGTGTCTATGCAAAATGCCTCTACATGGCTCAGAAATTAAATCTAGCTCTTAAGCTTTGGCCTTCAAGGAATGCTGGCACCATGGCACTCTGTATAGATATGCCATATGGATACAAAAAGTAGCCAGCGATCTGATCCCAGGCAGGAACATGTCCTGAATATGCTTTAGTCATATCAAAGCCAGTTCGTTTATGTAAGTCTAGCTCCTGGGATTACTTTCCTAACCCCTTGGCAGACCTTGCCTGAGTATTTAAATATCCCAAACTCCCAACTTGATTTCCAGACACTTTCCAGAACTTTGTTCTGTCTGGCTCCTTGGAGAGGTGCCGAGTGAAGAAACTGGTCAAATGGTAGCAAAGCAGAGGAGACAAACATTAGCTGAAGTGACTGCGGGATCCGAGCTCTTCCCTCCACCCCGCCCTGAACCCAAGACGGTATCCAGACAGTAAGCTTAAGTATTTGCACATAATTTCCCAAAGCCTGGGATCAGCACCATAGGTAAACGTGCTTGCAAATAGCAACCATAACCCTTGAGACACCTGCCCTCTTCATGCTGCCCCACCTCACCTTAGTTCTCAGCATCTCTTTCATCTTGCCCTTCCTTTTCTCTAAGAGCCCTGGAAGAGACTCCTTATTTATAGTCCACCTGACTTCCATTCTGACCTTCATTCAACTCTTTCTGGAAACACACTTTCTTCTCACTACCAAACTAAGGACTATGGTATGGTTTGTGTTTTTTTTTTAAGTGAAATATGTTATGCTATCCTGTGATCAATTCTCCACAATAAACATTGGCTTCATGGCAAGCCTGAATTTGAGAGGCACTAAGCTCTTGCTGCCCAGTGGAGTCCACTGGCAGGGAGAAGGGGAATGGGAACCAGTGGTGGCTGTAAGGAGGCAGGTCAAAATTGCAGCCCTGAGTGCCTGAATCATGTCTTCTCTTTACACATTTTTAGCTCCTTGAGGCCAAATGAATCTCATTTGTTCTGTGCACATTTGCAGTGCTCCATCTATCACTTCAGTGCAGAGATACAGATGGATATTTGCAGTGATTAAAGGAAAATCTGCCATTGAGCACATCCTAAATAAATAAAAACAATTCTCTCTCAACAATACTGGAGGGATGAGGTTAAAAAAATTCCTAGCTCAGTTACCAACATAGAGTAATTATTCAGCTGCTTGCAAGGCTACTTCTCCACAACTTGTGAAGCAGAGTGATATCTTGTGACTGGCATCAGATGGGTAACCTAGAATGCTTGCATGGGATGAAAGGTGCTGAAAAAACAGTCCTGGAAAATTAAGTCCTCTCTCATCCACAGCAGATGATCAGCAGTGGCAGCGGTTCTGGGCTGCACTGTTCACTCGGGTGAGTTAATTCTCTGCGTAGAAAACTCAGCAACCATAGTCTTTATAGCCTCATCTACACCTCTCTGCAGAGTCAGTCAAAACACAACCAGTTTCTGCACTTTTTACAACACCTGAAGGATGTTTTGGCAACACAATTGTAACTGAGCAACCCTCTGACACAGCCACTAATTGTTTTTCAGGACCTTTTTAGGGTAAAGAGCACACATGGAAGGTATCATTTAATGGTATTTATAGATGCCTGGATCACTCAGAAAGAGAAAAGGCAATTTTAAGCTACCTTCCTTCCAAGCCCTTCTTTTTGCCTTCATTTTAAACAGCTTTCTGACTTAAAGATGCTGATCACCACAGGATCTTTAAAGTCTCCTTTCAACAGTCCTGTGAGATAAAGAGAACTATTATTTCCTCTTAGAGAGACTATGGCACAGAGAGACTACTACACTTCCCAAGCTCACACAGCAAATGTACAGCATGGTAAGAAACATCACCTAAGTCTGCAGAGTCCTCAGCTAGTATTTTAGGCCCTCCAACACACCTCCTCTTAAATGAAAGATGACCTGGGTGCTGAGACCCTACTGTAGGTCCAGGGACACTCTCCTGGGATGCTCCAGCACTTCTTTGCCTCTGACTCTCTCTCTGGCACACAGAAAAGAGCAGAGAGCCACTGCTCACCTGGTGGGTGCGTGCTTCTGCTCCTCCTCTTCATCTGTGTCGCTGCTGATAGTGATGACACTCACAGCGGGGCTAGGGGTGTCGGGAATGATTATCGTCTGCCGCTGCCGCTCCCGCGTGGTGCTGGTGGCCACATCGCTCCAGCCGCACGTGACGGAGGTGCTGCAGGCAGGGCTGTTGTGCACCATGGCACAGCGGGGAGGCGTGTTCTCCTTCACTCGTTTCGAACGCTGAGGTGAGCTGATGGACTGAGAGGATGAAACTTCATAGGTGGATGCATTTCTGGAAATGGGAAAGGTAGGTAGTCAAAACTCGGTTTCCCGAAGTTGCCCATCACCATGGCTTTCGATTCCTGGTGTCTGATTCAATGGCACCAATGTATGGAATCTAGGAAAACTTCAAACTTGTCATAGTCCTCTTGAAAGGACAGACTGCCTCACGTGACTTTTATTCATATAATTGGCTGAAAAGTAGTTCCTTGTAGTAAAAAATTCCATTTTGTTTTCCCTAGAAATCTCCAAATGAGAAATGCTGCCTCCCAGGAGTCTGCACTGGAGGTAGAGGTCAGTCACACAGCACAGACATACAAAACACGGGCAGGCTCAGTATGCTTTCCCTTTCTAATAACCCCCTTCTCCTGTATCCTGCATGGATGCATCATGATCAGATATCTTTTGGCCAGAAAAAAACTAATGGTAAAATTAGAATTTTTTGTGGAAAACACCAGCCATTTATCAGGAAAATTGCCTTTCTCAGTTGAAAACTTAATTTTCTGTTTAAGCATCTTTTCAATAAAGATTTCCTGCCCAATGCTTCATCCTCTAGGGTAGTGGAGTCCCATGGATGGGTGCACGTAGATGAGAGGATACATACTCAAGTTTCATTTCACTCCTATATGAGGCAGATACAGCATATATAAATCAGAAAGAAAAGAACAATCTTTTTATTATGCAAGAGAAAAACATTCTCAAGTCCTAGGATTTTTCCCAGCCTTCCTACTTCTGCTTCCCTGCCTGATAGTTGGAAAGGGCCCATTGGATCAGGGATCTGAACACAGAACCTGTCCACCAAACCGTGCAGCACAGGTCTGCAGACGGGATATTTACCAAAGCACACTGACTAAAGCCCATTTCACTCATTTCCCACATTTTATTTCTTTCTTGTATTTCCTTCTTCTGCTTATTGCAGAACATTCGCAGACTCAGAAATGAAAAAGCCCCAAAGTTCTGGTTTTGTTCTACAGGGGGGCTGAGGCCTGGGCTGCATGTTCAGCTTGGCCTGAAAGCTAACAAAAGGAAAAGGTGACATCCATCACAAGGAAGTCACGCTGGACCTATCGCACTATACCAACTTACACAGGGTCTTTTGCATAACAAATGGCTGCACAGTAGCATTTGCAGTGCTTTTTGAATACCAATGAGCAGCGTGGAGTACCCTCCTCTCCAAAGGAGGATGCTCCTCATTTGGCTATAAAAGCGTCACTATTAATGAAGCTGTAGAAACCCTTTGCTCTGAAAGTGTCCAGTTCCTCCTGGATGCTGCCACCCTGCCCCAGGAGAAGGAAGGGAAAGGGGAAGCCCTGAACAGGCACACCGATTGCAACAGGCGCTCTCTTTTGCTGGCTTGCTGAGGATGTAGCTGCCTTTCTACATTGGGAATGAACTAAGACAGCTGGAGCCCACCCAAAGTAAATGCAACATTTGGGAGCAGAAAAAAGGAAGGATTTAAATAGTGGCCTGTTAACTAGAGTCAAACTGGTTGTGAACTCAGTCCTCCTCTGGCTCCAGTCCAGTCACCCAGTAAAACCACAAGCTCCTCTTATTCTGCCAGTGCACAAGGGGTGACCCATTTCGGTTCTTCCTCTGCACTGTTCTGAGTTTTTCAAAGAAATGTGACAATTTCAGAGCCCAGAGGATTTTCCCCAGAACAACTGCACATACATCTTAAACAGCCTTGTCCTCTGGCCAAGATTCAGTGCTGTGGCAGGCACTGCGATCATCCTACCATTTGTGAGTTGTGCCACATAACATAGCATGAACCCAACCTCAGTCTTCTATGGAGAGTTGGTAGATTCAGGTGTCTAAGGACTGCCTCCTTATAAAATGGTCCCTGATTTATGCTGCCATGGTTCTAAAAAGGCCAGCGATGGTTATCTGTTGCTGAAGCGTACTGCTGAACACAGGGAGCTAGAGAGCTGGAAGGTGGCTTAAAGCCACCCCAGTCCTCCACTCTGCATGGCATTAAAGCTCAGAAGATAGGTCATCATCCCATTGCTTTTGAAAGGGCAGATCTCACGTGCACACACGGGCACATGTTCCTGAAGATACACCCAGAGGTGCACCACTCTGTGGAAATGCAGACACTGAACCTCAGAAGTGCTTCTTTGAGATGATGTGGGAAGAATACATGTGGCAACTGGGCACTGCTCCACGCTGACCTGAGAATATAACTACTGTTTTAACTATGGTGACTGCAAGGCTTCAGGAAATCACAGCTGCATAACAAGACATATGAACAGGTCCTGAGTATCCCATCCTGCATCCCCTCCAGCCACTAACTCCTGCACGAAATGATGCTCACTGGGTATAAAATGTGCGTGACTGCCTCTTAGCCCTTCCTCTCTCCTGACCTGTATATGGAAGAAGTGAAGCAGCAAAGAGCCCGAAGTCACAACAAGTGCTGTCTAACCACTTGTGGGCCACAAAACAAACTATTCTGCCCCACAGGTGTCAGCGAACATCCCCCTCATCAGCGCTCCTGCACTGCAGGGCTGCATTCAGAACCACCCAGGTTCTGGGACGGTGTCTGGGAGCCGCGGCACTCACCGGGGTGCCGACTGGTGCTGCTTGCTCTTCCTGGCGGAGGTGGCGGCAGCGGGTGGCTGGCGCATGACGTGCGCGACACCCACGTTGACGGGCTGTGCCGCGGGGAGAGTGACGTGGCTGGCCAACAGCGCGGGCTGCTGCATGATGGGGTTGTAGTGGCTAGGCTGTTCCTGCAAGGTGGGGACACGTGCACACGTTTGACATGCCTTCCACAGGCTCCCACCGCCTTCACTGAGGCTCCCGCCTCCACGGGCCTGCTGGGCTTCCAGTCCCCCCCAGATGGAGCGTTTCCCCCCGGGAAGTGACTGAATGGAGCAGCATGGGCACAGCACTCCAAGAATGGGGAATAGAGAAGCTGCTCATAGCTCTTAGATGGGTGGGTTGCCCTTCTCCCTACTGGCTCTGCAGCCTCACAAGACCCCATCCCTCCCGCCTCCTCCAGCACCAGTGGTACTCCTGGGAGGCTCCATGTGCCTCCAGTTTACCTCCAGTCTGCCAGTGGTTGCGTGCCCGCCATGGACTCTGGGATGACTGTGGCGTGCTGGACAGAAGTGTGGGTGGCCACCCCAGTCAGCTGCTGCCAGGCCGGAGGGAGCAGGATCTGCTGAGTGCCACTGGGCCACGCTTGCTGTCGGACAGAGGGAAAACAATTTCTTAACAAGAGGCATCATACACCAAGTGTGAGTGGTGGTTCATACTCAGCGGGGGCTCCTACTAACAGTCATGGTCATACTACCTAGCTCTTGCCACTTTTCAGTCGTAGATGACAAATACTACTAGGAAGCCACTGTAAAAGCAGTAAAATCTACCAATACAGACAGCTCAAAGGAGAGGGAAAAAATATCCCTGCCACCCAAAGCACCAGCTGTGTTTTAAACTAGCAATGGGAGGGATCAAACCTGGTTGGCATTTCAACCCAAGCATCAAACTCTTTAACACCTTTTAATTTTGACTCTCCAGATCAGCTGGGCACTATAGTCTCACTGTTATTTCCCCCCCTCCTACAGCCAATTTCCCTTCCCACCCCAACAAGACCTTAAGGAACATAAAGGATCTAAAAATGAGAATTAACTTTTCAAGGATCAGAAAAGACAACAGGGGTCTGGTGGCCCCCTTATAGGGATGGAAATCTCTGCGCTGTGAGTTGAGCCATCACTCTGCTATGCAACCATCCCTCCAGCTGTGCTGCCGCAGGCATGACTCAGGTTGTCCTGCTCTGGTGACTCCACACACGAGTCAGATGGTTGGGTTTTGACTTAGGAAACTTTCTTTCCTATGTGCTGCCTGAAGGCGGCTGCAACAGCTTCCAACTGACAGGGCTGGGGAATGCAGGGCCTTCCTTAGTCCCAGCCAGCACTACTATATTGGACTCCTATTGTGTTATCTCACAGCTCTAAGGAGGCTAAATTTTAGAGGGGAGGCTTCTTCCAGGCATGCATTTGTCCCCATCTCTGTCCTCACAAGAATCCTGTTACCTATCCCCATGACTCCCTCCCTATTCCCCAGCAAAAAAAAAGAACAAACAACAAAAGCACCACCCCCCTTCAAAAAACTCCAGCTTTTCCCAGTTTAGCTCCAAAGTTTGACTGTCTTCTAATTTTCTATGTTGCTAAGGTAGATGAAAAGACTGCTCAGTGAGACCTCCCAACAACATCTGCAATCTGCAAAGGATGGACTGGCACAGGGCTCCTGAGAGCTGTTCATCTAAGGACCCACAACCACGGACTGGTGCTGCTTGGAGCAGATACGAAGAGGAAGCAAAGACACAGAAAGATCAGGGAGCAAAAAAGCTTTTTTCTCCCTTTTCTTTTTTCCCCAGCTTTGATTTAAAAGAGGAGACTGAACTACTGTTGCAGTCAGTCCCAGGGGACTACCTGGATTTACTTGCAGAGAAAACTGCTTCCTCCCTTTTCAGGAAAGAGAACTGAACAAATCTAAGCTCCCTTCAGAACTGCAGTGCATGAATTCAGATGCAGTGTCAGGGTCCAGGCACAAATTCCTCACTTATTACATAAGGACCACTGAATCATTTAATCTGCAGATAAGACTTGTCTAGGCTGATCCACTAGCACAGTATGCTGTGCTTACACACGGGGGGCTTGTGCCAGCAGCCGCAGCCTGTTCTCAGTTATTGCATTACTGTGAAATCATGCTGCTGCTGCACTGGGCCCTGCACTTTAGAGGTGGCAGGTCCCCCAGTGTGATGGAGCTTGTGCTTTCTATGTAGAGCCAGAACAACTAATGGAGTAAGCGTGTTTGTTCTGAAAGCTGGTGGCAGGACGTCCATGAGAAGAAGTGTTGTTGAGAAGGAGTTAAAAGAAGAGAAAATCAAGAATTCGGGGCATTATTCAAGGACAGGGGACAGTTCTGGGTCACGTCATGGAAGCCTGACAGAAAACTGTACAGCTTTGTCTCTTTTGAGATCTGAAGCTGCAGAGAGCTATTAGTAAAGACAGGATCCTTTCACTGGTCTCTGCACATGGGATGTGGACCACACTTGCTTGAGAGTGTGAAAACAGACCCAGAAAAGCAACAAATTACCTTTTTTTACAGAAAGCTACTTTAGCCACTGGCTCTGTATCTTGAAGGTTCTGTCAAGCTCCATGCTATAGGCTGCAGACACACAGCTGCCAGACATGATGCTCAAAATCCATCCCTGCTTCTGCCTGGGGTCTCTCCAGCTTCTGGAGCTCCTTCCCCTGTCCCTCCTCTAGGACTGCTAGTCTTGCACAAAATGCACAGGGAGAGCTGGATGCTGGCTGTGCTGGGATGCATTAAGGCTTTACCAGCCACAGACATCCTCATGCGGGCAAGCGCAGCCAACTTTGCTGCGCGCTGGGCAGGGGAAAAAGCCTGATGGCACTAAAACAGTGCTGGGAGCACAACAAGCAGCATCATGCCTGATCAGGGGGATAAATAAGTTGGGTGGAAAAACAGAAGTGGGCTCTGGAGGCACTACGCTCTCTGCTGGGGACAGTCCCTCTAGTAGCTGGAGCAGTCACACAGTCCAATCTGAAGAGCATTAGATAAGCAGCTGTGCATGAGAGGAATAGCTCTCTGCTGGGAGAGAGACACACAGCCGGTCAGAGATCAGATGTGACTACAATGCATTACAAAGAAGCTGTGTTTTTCCATTCAGGAAACTGGAATTGGGTACAGATTTGTTTATCAGACCAGCTGCTCAGCCTGTACTGAGCAAGGCCCACGGACACCAGATGCCACCGGCATCAATCAGAGTGCCTTGCCATCAGAGCAGCAGCTAGCATTTCTCACTGCATGAGACAGGCAGATATATCAACAGGCAGACTGCTTCTCTTCTATTAAATAAATAAAAATCTATGCAAGTGAGGAGTGTTTCTCAGAAACAGCTTCAATTCCCTTGTGGAAGTGACAGTGAATAAAACATCAGCAGAAATTACAAGAGGGGCAGCCCATGAAATGGGAATTCACGGAGCAGGGGCAGCACAGAATCTGGTAGCAAAGCTCCTCCTGAACAATCCCTCCCATGGATTGTGTGGTGACCCCAAGAACACCTCAAGAAAAAAGAGGTAGCCAGAGGCCCTGAGATCTTTCAGGATCCTGCTGCCTTTGAGATGTTTCAGACCTGACTTTCACCCCTTCTAGCCCCATGTAACAGCACACCTGAGGAGATCTGGCAGAATGGCAGGGCATGCAAAGCCCTGTCACCTCCTTCACCCACTGACTTCTTGCACAAGCAATAGGTGCTTACAACTGTGCCTGCATAGATGGCTTCTTTTGTTGCGCCTGTCCCTACGACTCTCCTTTCCTACCAAGCAAGAGAGCCCACGCAGGTTGTAACAACAGGCTGCAAGAGAGATAGGTTTGATGTTTCAGACAGCCCTTTAACAAAGACTGCTACTGGGAAGGGGTAGGGCACATTAGCTAATGGAAATCATTCAGACTGCAAGTTGTGTTTCGATCCATCTTCACCAGATAAGCGCAACAGGCAGCTGCCAAAGAAAGATCATTGCACTGACAGTCTCACCCCAGCAATGCCACACACTGGCATAAACCTGGAAGTCTGCTGGTAGCTGACTGCCCATGGACACACTGGCATTAATGCAGGCATGGCAGATAACCAATCCGGAGTCAGAGGCATGAGTTTTGACCTGTAGGTCATTTTTTCCGGGCTGCACAACTTATTACTAAGTAGGGGCAATTCACTGAAGCCAGCACAAGGAGTAATGGGAATGAGCTGCTCCTCTTTTTTGAGGATCTGGGGTTCCCCTTTAGGATGCGCATGTGATTCATGCTACCCATTCTCATTTGTATTTTTTTATCCTAGGAGGAACCATGCTTTATATGCAAGTGCGTTTTGGACAATTGTGCCAACAAGTGCTGCTGACGAAGATAGCTCCTTGTCCGTGGGGCCCTTGCCTCTGCCCCCTACATGTCTCTCATAACTTAAAGAGCAGAGGGGCACCTCATAAAGCAGAAGGGTGCAAACTTAAAGCATTAAAGATATTTCTTGGCAGCATGCAATTCACCAGCACAGCTCCTGGACACAAACTACCACTCAGACCATGAGTTCAAGGGGATGCAGGAAAGTTACTACCTGTTCCTCCTTAGCAGGGGCCTGACACAGCTTCCCGTAAGGCTTCCCACTGATTCCACTGGACAACCAGAAGGAAAGAACGTCTTTCCGGAGACTTTTGCAACTCTGACACAGCCTTTCAGCTGAACAATGAACTTGAGGTTTGGACATTTTGGAGATAGCTGGAGACCGTTCTATGGCTGCCCAAGTCTCCGAACTGCACCACAGAACGCCCTCAGATAAAACTACCCTCCTCAGCCCCCAAGAGCTGAACACCACAAATAATATCTGCCAAGCTTGGTGCTTCAGAACTCCTTACCTGTGCGAGGAGTCCTGGCTGGATCTGAAGAGGCTGGGCCCCAGGCGCCTGAGTGACAATGGGAACGGCGTTCTCCATCCGAACTGAATACCCAGCATGCTTCGAAGGGGAGGCTTGTAACCCTGTTCCACCAGCACAGAAGGTACAGCATTAGCCATCGACAAAATTATTCGGAACATGGGTCTGCTTTTCAGAGGTGCCTAAAAGCATTCGCTGATGCCCACTTAAATTGCAGCATTCAGTCCCTCTGAAAAATTGGGCTCTTGGAGTCTCACATATTTTACCCCAGCCCAAAGATGTCCATTAAATGTGATACATATATAAGAGGAAGGAAAAGACATTTGCAAAGATGTTAAGGGATTAACTGAGTTCACATTTTTAGGGTATCTCAAATAAGTGGGAGACATTTCAATACAATGTCTGTAGGGAGAAAAATAAGAGAGGGGAGGGAATGGCTTATCTGTCCACACATTCTCTGGCTTGACAATAGAAAACGGTTCTTGCCAGCCAAAACCCACTGCCTTGCAAGAATGTTTTCTTTAGAACAAAGTGGGATGGGAATCCAGAACTACATAATCACTCAGCCTCGATGGGGTAGGTGATTTTCTCTTGCACAGCTTCTCAGGACTTGTATTTAAAAGGCTGTGATTTGACCATGTTATCTAGCACAGCCCAAACCCCAATCACTGCTGACTCAGCCTAACTGAGCTGGAGGAAGCTTCTCTCTCCACCACGTTAGCACGTGGCAGGGCCTGTGCTATCTCCTCTACTTTAGAACTTTCTCAAGACAGCAAGTGGAAGATGTTAGCTTACATATTCTAGCAACGCATTTCTGAAGTCAAACCCTTGAGATGCATTTTAACTACGTAGAAGAGGTCTAGCTGAACTCCACTAGTTCAAAAGAGCTTTGATAATCCTGCAGAACATTTAACAAGTGCCTAGAGACTGCTCCAAAGGCAGGCTTGTAGAAATGAAGAGCAGAAGTTGCACCAGCTGAACCAAGGTCTATTTAGACCACTTCCTACAGATACCTAGCTAGTTTTTCCAAATTGCTACAGCATGTACAGTCAAAAGAAAGACAAGTGGCTACATCTCATCTTCACCCAAGCTGCCTGACAATGTGGTGCCTGCTACCAGTATACACAGGCAGAGCTATTTGAAGCAGGGTTGGAGCTGAAGGAATTGTACTGATAAACAGTCATGAACATCTGCTATGAGGTCAAACCCTCAACTCCACCAGCACCACCGTCCCTGCTGAATTAATCTCCTGAGTTCCCCTTTTAACAACTACATCACTGAGAAGTGATGAACCCATTATTTACGTACTGATTTATCACTGTTGTAGGGGAAAGTTTTCAAGTTTGCCAAAGTGAGGCAGAACAGCCTCAAACTCTGTTCAGGGTAAAGGATGACAAATATCACATGTTCTTCCCCAGCCCCTTCTGAATCTGTCCTATTGTTTTAGACCACCCTCCTGATGCTGAGACTTCCTTCAGAACTCCAACTCATGATGGAGATGCCTGCAAGATCCTCCACTGTTGCAAACATTTCCATCTGCAATAACCTCGTTGCTCTGATTTACTAGGCCAGCACTTTTTCTACTGCACCAAAGAAAGCTTGCTTCCAACAAGAGGTAGATGAAACACCGCAGTGGGGAGGGAGCAGTGACTAGCCAAGACCTGGTGAGGCTGTTACCTACCTTGGAAGCCTGGTGGGCAGACGATGAGAGCTTGCTGTAAGGGGTCGGGCCGGGCGCAGATCTGCGCTGTTCCTGTCTGCAGGGGCATGCTCCGCTGGGCCACCGCAGCCATGGATGCCGCTGAGGGCTGGTAGAGTGCAGATTGGTAATTTAGTATGGAGACCTCGGGGTTGGCTAAGGAAATAGTGGCACTGGAGGAGGTGGGAGCCAGGTTGGTGGTCTAAAGGAATGACGGGAATTAAACAAAAACAAACAAAAAATGAGGGAGATGGGTACGTTGGAAGAAGCAAAATCCAAAGATAAAATAAAAAAGTAAAATAGTGCAAGATAAAGTAAAAGAAAAACAAAAACAACAAACAAAACAGACCAAAATAAAAACCAGAAAACGGGAACCAAAGAAGGGGCAGAAGAGGACACTGAGGAGCAGAGGCAAGGGTAGTGACAGGGAAAGGAACAGAGTCTGCCTGAACAACCGCAGCTGTACCATGCAACAGGATCTCCAGCTGCATGGCGCTGCTCTTAACTGCTCAAAGACAGCACATTCTCCAAAGCGCAACTGTAGCTCCATTTATCACCCAACTGGCTCTGACTGCCAGCATGATGAAGATGGGCTCAGAAAACGCTACTGTCCCCAAATCACATTGTTCACTCACCACGCACATAGCTCTAGAAGAAGCTCGCATTTCTTAGGTAAGAGAAACTCAGAACCTCCACGCTATTTTAAGACTTGTCCTGAGAGGGGAGGCTCAGTCCAGCCTTTCCTCTACCTTGTATCTACGATGGCACATGCCCTTATGTTTTCAATGTGAAGGAATCAGAAGGCACAACAGGAGGTAACAATACTACTTTCAAAGTCCATGACTTTTCAGGGCAGAAACTCCAGCAGGAGATGTTGCAAAGCCACAAATATCAACAAAACATCTAGAAATCTGAGGGTGACTTAATTTTTCATTAGGACCAAGTCTGTAACAGTTGCAGACAAACAACCTTTAGACAGCTCTGCCACTGCTCTATAAAAACATATGTTCTTAGCATTCATGTCTAGGCAGCTAGGCATTACCTGACCAAAGCCCACCTTTCCCCTCCATGCAAATGCACCAGCATCACTGCTGGAGATTGGTCAGATAACACTTTCTCATGGTGAATGTATGAACCCAGGATGAGGCTTTGATCACTGCTGCAGGAGGCAGTAGGCCAAGCATTTCACGCTGACCTGCTTGCCACTGGGCCTGGGAAGGGTACTCATGCTGCACTGCCACAGCCACAGCTATGACGGATGTGACGGTGAAACATTCCTTCTTCTTCCTCCTTCCCTCTTTTTGCAGAGGCAGAGAAGTGCAATCTGTTCCCCTGTGCAACACACTGAGCAGCAACCACGACAGCTCCCCGACTCCTCAGCTCAGGAGTCCTAACTGGAAGGAGGCAATCCCCAGATATTTTGCAGACAGGGAGCACCAGAGAGCCAAAATGAGTTGAATGTTGAACAGAATGGTGAAAGGTTTAGAGCTTGTTCAAATTACAACACCCTTCCTGGAAATGTTTCTACCACTTCTTCTAGGAACACTGGAGATACCAGTTCTGCTCAAAACACACGCCCCTTATGAGAATGCAGATTACCATGGACCTCCTCAGCCAACAACTGATCTCAACATTGAGTGAGCAGCGAGGAAACGAAAGCAAGTCTGCATTTCCTACTAGCAGTTGTGGTACAAATGGTGTCTCTGGCCTGCAGCTGGGGCCTAGGGGACCATGTAGCATATATTTCTTTAGTCAGCATCTCAGATACAGCCAAGAAAGGGAACCAGTGTTTGTAACTAATACCCTATCACACCAAGCCATGATCTATCTCCACCTGCATCTGCTTAATGAATTGCTCCAAAAGACTTTCTGTGATTACATGCATTGAGAACTGAGCCATGATGTCTGGTTTTCTGAGTGACACAGGAACACCCTGTATATCTATCTATACAGATTCCTTTAGCTCTCTTGCTTTCCATCACTATTTCCGCAATGCCACCTGCAATCTCTGGAATGAATCTTGAGCAGCCTGTTCCCAAAAGGCTTAAAAGACAGTAGCTATTTCTTGAGCCTCAGTCTCCCATGGTGCTGTCCCCAGAGTTTCTTTCATTGTTGTAATACAGTACCGCAGTAAACAACTTAGCCTGCTAGTCACATAAAATCTGTCAACCCAGCACCCCCCAACACTGGGGCATCTAAAACTAATACAAAAGTCCAAAGCATGACCACAAAACCAGAGCCTACCAATGTAGAATGCAATGTGTTTGGAGTGGGGGTACGTGCACAGGGTTCCAATGTCAACTGCGGCACGTGGAGTAAAACCAATGAGAATATACATTACCACTAAACTGTTCTTTCCTGTTGATTGGTTACAGTGCTGTGTGTGTTACAGAAGGATTTAAACTCTTTTTACTTCAATGCCAATTTAAAGAAGTGCTGTAAGATCACTAATCTGACCCAGGGACTGCAGTCCTGCCTGCTGCATTAAGGGACTAAGGAGCTTTTCCCCATAGCAACTTCGCAAGTAAGCAGGATTTATCACCCTCAACAACAACATAAACAATGAGGGCAACATTTCACCACTGCACAAACTGTCACAAGATTATGACTTGCCTGAGGAAAAGAGAATGAGGAAGAGCAGAAAAGTAAGCCCCAGACTGAGAAAGAGAATTTGCTGGCATGTTAAATGGGATGCTACTTTGCTTTTTGTCTTCTAGACCTCACTAACCTAAATGTTTCAAGCAGTGGCCGTTTCTGATTGATGCCCTTACCTGGTTGTGGACTGTGTTCAGCTGGTTGTTAAAAGTCATGGTCAGGTTGGTGGATGTACTTGGGGCTACATGGGTGATGAATGGTGTCTTGCTCTGGTTCACTGTGTCATACATATTCACCCGCCGCTTGCAAATCTCCATGTTCTGGAAGCAGGACTTAACACTGCGTAAGGAAGAGACAGAAAATCAAACGACCAACCAACACAGGTTAACAGTTTCTCACAGCACCCTGCATTAGGTCTCCACGTCAGGCTCAGCATTTTCTAGGTTCTTAAAGCCCTCTGCTATTTTATGCAGGTCTCTCTTAACCAGTGAGAGTCAGATTAACCCTGTACTGAAGAGAGCTAAATAGGTGTCAGACGACAGTGGCAGCTCTGGCACTCCTGGGTGCCCCCATAGGTATGAGCACTGCAATGTAAGACAGAGAAAGCAAGCAAATTGGTTGCTTTTTAGGTGGCAGGGCAAGAAATACAAAGCAGTTATTTTAAAAGACTGAAAGAGACTGAAAGCAAGGAAGATACTGTTTTTTTCTGATGATTGAGCCTCATGCTTTCTGCCTCAGTGCAAGCCTAAGGGTAATTTTACAAGTCTTTTGCAAGGAAGAATTTTCCTGCTTTTGGTCACTGAGACCCCTGAAAAAATCTTACTTGCTCCTTTTAAAAAGTTCACTGAAAGCTGAGTCCTGCCAAGTGGTTAAAACATTGCCCCTGTCTGCCTAAACACTTCCGTAGATGCTTATCTTAAAGCACATGAGCTGTCCTCCTGCAGTCAATGGGACGATTCATATCACAAAAGGTTATGCCAAATCAGATTCATCAATGTCCTGAGGGAATCAGGTTCTGAGGTTATCTCAGTCTAAGAATTGCATCTCTGGGGAGAAAGATTACAGCTTCTTCCTCTATACAGACTTTCCTTTAAATGTTATTGATATAGCAATGGAAATTTTGAGAAGTGTAGTATTTTGTATCCCTAGCAAAAGAGATGAAATACTCTCTGCATTGCTAGAGCACTCTAGGTGTCTGGTACATGGAACTGCTGGTATTCCATTTTTATAATTGGGATCCAAAGCATACAGAGGTTTAAGAGATAACAACATGGCAATCTTGTGCAGAACTGTACTTTTCATAAAATCTCATTTTTTCCAAGATGTAAAAACCAATACAGGTTTCCCACAATTCCTCCATAATAATTGTTCTTACAAATGTGACCTCAAAGCCTGAAACACAACCCAAAAAAGTGGAAAGGCGTTTATTTTATTTCCATTATCCCAACCCAGAAAAACAGAAAATGAAGCAGTGAAAATCAGCTGTAGCTGGAAAAAATCAGCTGTATGCATAATTTTTTTTGTAACAATCTGTTAAGAAGTAGGGGAGGTAAACACATCCTCGCATAATTTTTGGGAAATAAAATGACCCTTCAAAAGGAAGAAGCTCATATGATCCCTACTGGTCAGGAAGGGGACCTAGATCTTTTTATCCCTGTCTTATATCTTACTCACGTGGTCACCTTTCTTCTCCTACAGGCAACAGCTTGATAACTGGATCTGTGGCATAAAGACCTGTGGACAAGACAGGCTCAGGACACTGCATAGCTGCTCATTCATTTCAAAAACTATGAAATACCTCTAAGTCCTAGAATACTTAGAAAAATCAAACACTTCTTATATAAATATAGAAGACTATAGGGTTGCATTTTCCCAGTCAACTAAGACTATAATTCTCTCTCCAATAAAACAGAAAGCACTG